TGGACAGAGTATTTCTAATATAGTTGGTTGAACGGTTACCTCTTCAAGTCCCTATTCTTTATATCTTCCTCTCGGAGCCTCCCTTAGCGCAGTACGCCCACCGGTTGTAGATCAACTTGTGCGCTACTCCTATTGTACCCGGAAGCGTGATTAGCACCCTGGTATGAACACGTTACAGGAAGAAAGGGATGTGCGGTCAGCAATGGATGACCTGAAGGGAACCTTTCGAGCCCAGATGATCAAGGCCTACCGTTGCGACCCCCTCTACCACAAAGTTCTTGACAGTGGAGGGACCGGAGACCTTAAACTCTACGAAATCTCGGATGCAATGATATATGCCCCTACCGGATATGGCAACAAAGCCCTCTACATCCCCGATGGCCACCTAGTGAATGGAAAGACACTTCGGGAATACCTGATCAGCGAAATCCATGACAAAGGCCATGCTAGCGCTGACCAGAACCTCTATTATGCTTCAGAATACCTGTACTGGCCGGAAATGCGTAATGATTTCAGACATTATGCGAAGACCTGTAAAGAATGCCAAAGGAATAAGGAACCTACTGCCCTACCAGAAGGATATGCCCGAACACTGAAGCTACCTGCTGACGTGTTTGAATCATATGCCATAGATTTCGCAGGACCCTTCAACAAATCTGGTGGATTTGACACTATCCTAGTAGCGCTGGACCGCTTTTCTGGATTTACCTGGCTCATACCCACCCTTGCAGCTTCAACCGCCCAAGATACATGGGATCTATTGCGGCGAAATGTCTTTACCCCTCATGGCCACCCTCTCTCAATTGTTACCGACGCAGATCCTAAGTTCACATCCAAGTTCTGGAGACAAACCTTAACCTCGATGGGAATAGAACACATCCTAGCTGTGCCAGGCCACTACCAAACGAATGGCCAAGTGGAGCGAAAGATTAGAGAAGTCAAGACAGGCCTCAGGAATATAGTCAACAAATGACAAAACAACTGGGAACCAGCCCTTCCGGAAGCGGCAGCATACATCAACGCAATGTACTCTAGTACTATTGACACGGCCCCTTACAAAGCCATATATGGACGAAACTACCCCCTCTTACCACGCACCTTGTTCAAGGACTCTGCAGTACCGGCGCCTGACAACCACCTCAATCAACACAAAGCCCTCCGGAATGATGCCTATCAGGTACTAAGAACCGCCTGATTCCGAAACACAACAAAGGCACAAAAGAAACGGAGATTACATCATGCTATACCCCCGGGTGCCATGGTCATGGTACATGGAAACCTGTTTAGTCCTGAAACTGGCAGAAGCAAGAAACTCCAACCCTGCTGGCGAGGTCCTTTCAAAGTGCTAGAATTCGACAGCAATACCAAGAAATACACCATCAAGCTAGAAGGATGGATGTACCGGCGTGGCAAGGCAGTGGTTCATTCAACTACAGTTAAGAGGTGGCACCCAAATGACGATGGCAGATTCCTGGCACGCAGCCACTCCCGGCCAGCCCCACTACTGATCGACAACCAGGAGAAATGGGAAGTGAAAGAGATACTTGACCATAGAAAGCGCTATGGAACCGATCAATTCCTGATCAAATGGAAAGGTTATCCAGACTCGGAGAATAGCTGGGAGCCAGTGGAAGGAATCGAAAATGCAATAACCCTTGTGCATGAGTGGTGGGAAGCCAACATGCCCGGAGAACGACTACCACCCACCATCAACCATATAACGATAGCTTGGTCACCTACCTTACCCACCACATAGCGAATACGCGAAGACCCTCCTACCAGACCGCATTTCTGGGCTCCCTATGACGCAAACCAATTTGAAAGCAGCAGTGACGAAGACCAAGCGATGGCAGATGTTATAGGCACCTTTATCTAATAGCACGCTCTCTATCCGAATACCTTAAAGATGGAAAACTATGAGGAACTGAATGTGAGGCTACGCCATCAGCTTGTGGGACTGTTGGTGGACCGCAGTGCTATCCTACTTGAAAACTACTTTGATACCCTTTTGGTTGATTACTGCCCGAATTGCGAAGAGCTACTGGTGGAAGTATGGGAAAGAGCGGCAGGTATCCGCGATTACTGTGATTTTCATTTCCTTTATTCCAATTGTTTTTTGGAATTGCGGACATGTGTGTTTTGTATTGGTGATGGGGATTGGGCGCTCGCTGATGAGGAATATGGCGAGGATTTTTATGAGGATTTTGATTTTCGGGATTATTGATTTGTTTAAGTAAACAGATGTTTTGTTTTGGGGAATGTAACCGGAACTGGAGTTCAGTCCGTTCGGTTCAACGATTTGTTTTATGTTTTTTTTTACTTGTGGTTTCGAGTATCCTTTGATACTTAGTTTGTTTTACTTGTGGTTTCGAGTATCCTTTGATACTTAGTTTGTTTTACTTGTGGTTTCGAGTATCCCTTGATACTCAGTTTGTGTTATGGGTTGCTCACAGAGGATTTGGAAATCCGTCCATGCCAGACATGGACGAAGCTTGTATTTAAAGACCGCTGAGTCCTTTAGAGGAACAGCAGACTTCGACGGACAGAGTATTTCTAATATACTTGGTTGAATGGTTACCTCTTCAAGTCCCTATTCTTTATATCTTCCTCTCGGAGCCTCCCTTAGCGCAGTACGCCCACCAGTTGTAGATCAACTTGTGTGCTACTCCTATTGTACCCGGAAGCGTGATTAGCACCCCGGTGCGAACACGTAACAATAACCCTACTGAACCATAGAGGGGAGTGGAGAGTGAGCGCGCATCTGGCACAGCGGAATCCGTGGAGATACTGTTTCCTGGAGTGGAACGAAATACTCTAATTCAATTAATTGAAAACCGCTTTAAGCCAACCAATATATACCGCCTATTAGCAACAGAAAAGGAACGTGCCGAGTCTCAGCGCACAATAAACATCAGAGGGGTCGAATTCGAGCAAGCAGAACGTGACGGAAAAGAGGGGCAATACCGTATGACCAGCTTTTTCAAAGCTTGGGCAGCATATAGTGGAATTCTAACCAAGTTAGCCCCCTAAGTACTCCAGAGGGAGCCCGCTAGAGCCCTGGCAATATACACGATGAATTTGTATGACATGTTGGAGAAATATACATGAGAGGGTATTAGATCTTACCATTTCCAATTTCACCGGAAATGAGTCGAAGTAGAAAGAACATATATATTAAGAATCCTGCCCCGAGGATGACTAATATGACAGGTAACGATTTTTGACTTGAAGTGAGGTAATACTTCTTAGGCCTATGCCTACGTGACGTTGATAGTCAAGTTCTTTGACTTCTATCGTATCGCGCCTATTCCTCTTGATCTTCTTAAGTCCTCGTATAGGACTCAGGCGTTGATCTTAGGACGAGAAATAGTTTTCTCGCTTAAGGTGATATAAAGGTCAAAGCGCGTATAGGTAGGTTTTATTGATAAAATGTTAAAGGTAGGAAATAAACGAGAAGAACATGTGAAGAGCTAATACTAGGGGTCCTAGTGACCCTTTATATAGTAGCTCTTCACTTGGCGTGACTCATACTTATGCATCACGTGAACCTTGTGACTCATAACTATGAGTCATGCGAAATCCCTCAGCTGACTGCTATGAGTCGCTGCACAACATGCCTAAAACCAATCAAAACATAATAACTAAGTCAGGTACGCAACTCACATCACCTGAGTGAGACCCATGACTCATAATTTGAGTCATGTGTGAAAATCATAACATCGTGTGACTCACAACTGTGAGTCACGAACAGGTAAACATAATAACCTATGGCGCACTAGTGTGCGTCATGTGAAATCCCAACATCCCTATAGCTTGGAAATCTGAGCTATGTAAAATCTGCCGTACCTTAGTCACAGTTTGTGACATTAGCTTCCCTCTCCCTCAGCCCGAGTGCCATCGGGCTTTTATTCGCGTCTTGATCCCCCTTGATGGTCCCTCCAGCTCTTTTCCCCGTGGTAGTAGCTGCGATTAATCCTTCGGACCCCTCTTGCAGTCCTATCCGAATGTTTCCGAGCCTCTTCCACCTGGCTCTCCAATTCCCTCTCCAAGGCCTCCCTTGCTCCTCTCTCCCTTGCCAACTCTTTCTTGAGTTGGCTTACCCTCAACTTAGTTCCTCTCTTCATTGCCTCCAACAACACTTGCGTTAGTCAAAGGTCCTTTTCCAGTTCCACTATCACCGCCTGTTGGTCCTCTGCCTGAGGCAACCTTGGCGTAGCTTCTTCCATCTCTTCCTCCCTGGAGACGTGCCTCGTCCTTCTGGGTTTTGCCCATTTTTGTTTTTTCGCCCCCCTCTTCTTCGACGCCGTCCCTGGAGTCGGTTTGATATATTGTACCAGAGCCACTGGCTCTGGTGTCGGGAATCTCGCGGGTGATCCCAGGGGTGAAGTCTTGGGTGGCCATAGGGTCGCTTCTTGAGGCCAATATCCCGAGCCTTCCTTCTCGCTTTTGTGCACTTGGTACTCGTCGTTGTAGCATCCTGTCGATGACAGGTTCACGTGTTCCCTTTCCAGTGAAGGGGTTCTCGGTAGCGGTAAGTCCACCAGATTTACCCAGTCTTCGTCCATAGGTTCTTCCTTGATCGGTGTTGGGTTTCGGTACCCCAGGCTTGTTGGTGTAATGTGTTTGAACACGTCATGTTCCGGAATGTTTTGTAGGGCCGATGGTATCGGCAATTGTTGGTAATTCATCTTGGGATGTTCCCAATGGTAGGAGTCTGTGCGGTATAATGTGGGTGTGGCACATCCTGATTCGGGTATGTCCTTTTACCCATAACAAGCGTCTTCTAACAGCCAGGCATCGCGCTTGCGGAAGAGCGTCGTGGGGGCACCGGAGCCGACAGGGTCTGCAGGTTGAAGCTATGCCTTGCCCGGATTTTCCGGCAGCCCCGGCCATGCATGCCGCTTCATCGCCTCTGATTCGCCGTACTTTCCTTGGGATCTGAGCACAATAGCTAGGTTGGTGAGACTGAATAGGGTGTCGGGGTGATCTGGTCCGAGAACATTCTCACGTCCCTCAAGTGCACGCCGATGCATTGTCTCGGATTCCCCGTACTTTCCTTGGTATTGCAGCAGAATAGCTAAGTTTTTGCAGCCCCCAAGGGTGTCGTGATGGTCTCGTCCAAGAACATTCTCGCGTCCCTCAAGTGCACGCCTATGCATTGTCTCTGATTCCCCGTA